ATTCACAAACAGAAACCTTTTCTCCCAATTCATACCAAAACATGTGTTTCACCTGTATAAATGTTAAAAATATAAATATAAGATTAACTAATTTGAATCACACAAACAGAAATATTTCACTGACAATAACAAAATTTCAGGCTGGCAGTTATGGTGACCAATAATGGTTCTTAACAAGATGCTTCATGCAATGATATGCATTTGTATAAAATGAACCCCCTATAATAAAAGTCATGTCAGAATATAATATTTATGCAGGCATTATGAGAAAAAGTTATCATCACTAACACCAAATCCGTTTTAGTTTAAAGAACTATTGGCGATCATATGTCAGTGCAAGTGCATCTTAGAATATGCACCACTGGTATATTTATATACAAGAAATTGTGGAGTATCATGCAGAATCTGGAACCTGCAGATTTTCACTCTAATCAAATATGACGATATATAAACTTTAAGCAAGAAATTGTATCGACAAGGATGAAAGCCAAAGAGCATTAGAACTTAAGAAAACCAGGTTTACAAACCAGCAATGTTCTATGCTTCATAATCACATGGGTTTTGGTACCACTGCTATCGTAGACAAGGCAAGACCCTTCTTCTGAGCTAGTCCCTAATCCGGTTATAGTTCCCAATAGAATCCTCGATCCAACGGCAGCACCTGAAAAAGAATCTTCAGTAAACCCTTCGCTGGTATGGACAGGATTTTCATTAGAGCTCAGAAATACATGAATGTGATCAGACTCTTCATTCTGCATCCCATCAGAGTAGCTTTTTGGAGGGGCTCTGGTGGCTGTAGCAACCACCCTCCCAGATATATGCAATTCTAAATCTTTATATGCATCTGATGTTTCATCTGTAACATCCCAGGTTTGCACATGAGCATTTCCGGCATCATCAACACCACCAGAATTCATGCAGATGCTCAAGTCCCGAACAGATTGACAAATCCCCAAACCAGCAGATGTGGAATAACTTAATTTCTTATTGCTGTAAGATGATAACTCTGGAACTATATTGACCAGGCAGACCATCCCAAAAAGATCACGGCCTGAAACCAAATGCAGCACCTCTGGAGTTTCATACACAGATCTCTCTTCAGCTTCAAAGCAGTCAGGAAGAAGGTCCATAGACTCAATTAGAGGGCCATAGTACGCCGCATGTATGGCTGAATAAAAATCTCTCTCAAGAACATCAAAATAACCTGTTCCAACAACCACCTTCCTCTCTGACAGCACATCATTTATAGCAAGTCTATACCACTTCAACCATTCAACAACTTCCATCCGCTTATATGTAGTTAGATGACGCTTGTACATGTGCAATGTCATGCCGCACCCAGAATTTTTCTGCATAAAATTTCTCTGAGATAACAGGTCCCTGTCATAATGGGCCCTCTTTTCGCAATCTGAAAGAATCTGCAATCCATTATCGATTGTGCAGTCAGGTCAGAATACCTGTATTTGCCTTGTAATTTGTAAATTCCTCTTTGGATGATTGCTCATAGAAGGGTAAATACCTACGATCTTATTCAAAGAAGAAGGCCTATTGTTTGTATCACTTTATTAGTGCATCATGTGCAAAGAAGATACTGAGGGTATTGACCATATTTTCCTTCATTGTTCCATTGCTTTAGACTACAGCACGAGCTGTTTAGGAAAGAAAGGATAAATTGGATAATTTCATTTTTGTCTGTCCCTTTGTTTGCTAAGATACTTTTTTCTTTTGGTGGAGGAAAAAGAGGTCAATTTTCTATTTGTAGCCTCTTCCATTTTAATGGTAGAGATACCAAAAGTTTTATTTTTTCTTACAAAACAAACTGAAGTGGCAACTTATATGGTACATTTCCTACAGCCTACACAGACTAATGTGATACCCGCAGCATGCCAAGCTGCAGTGTCAGTTGGAACACGGAAATTGCAGTAAACATCCTATTTGTTCTTCTAAGAATCCAAGCAATAAAGTTCTCCCAAACATAAATTTTTTAATCTAGCTATAATACAAACCCCGATTCCTTTTTCCCTAATCCAATTATAAATTTCAAGACTTTTTTTTCTTTTGAATGAAAATTTAAGTATAATCACTTCCCAAACCATGTAATGTTCATTCATCATAACCAAAAAAAGTACATGAAAATGAGTTTAAAATCGAATAATTAAAATCAGATAATTGAAGAAAACCTCATAGGCGGCGAGGATTTGCACGAATCTGCGAGAAGCAGCGGAATCATTCTTGGACTCGGCGAGGTCCGGATGAGTCTGTTTCGCCAATTTGTGGAAAGACGCTTTGATTTCGGCAAATGAGCTGGTTTCTGAAACGCCTAAGACCTCATAGGCGTTCTCTGAGGTGAACTCGGCCCGAGCTGACTCGGTTCTGCCACTGAACCACCGAGTTCCAGTACTCTGATTGAAGATAAATAAGAGATAACACCTTGGATTTGGTCGAATTGAAAGCATAGGAAATGGACGACGGCGAAGCAAATCTTCCGGATGAGAAGCCATATTTTAATTTTACTTGTTTATGTGGGAATTTTGGAAATTTTGGAAATGGTGGAGCAGCTGTACATTGAGCGAGGAACAGTGAAGGTGCGGTTTGGGGAGGCACACTGAGGAGTGTATGGAAGTTGACAGGTGCCGCTCGCTGCGCGTTCGTTAGAGGAAGTGAATGGTCCGGTCTTGACACGTGGCACCAGCGTTGCATGGATTCTAATTTCAATTTTCTTTTTCAACGATTATCATTGATGACATTTTTTAAGAACTCACTCCCATTTTCTCCTCTTTTTTTCTGTGTTTTTTGTTGTTCATTTCTCCAGTGATGTTGGTCACTCATTCCAATTAGGAGGCGATGGGATGGGGTTGGTCCGTTGCGATTATACTTCATAACTTATTTGGGGGTTGATCGAGGGTGGTGGATGAGTGGCTACGGGAATGTGTTTATACCCTATTTCTCCCCTTAGGCCCATAAGGCCCAAAGGCCGTGATTTGAAACCTCGGCCCAAGTTTTTGATCCAGCCCAGTGCAGGGATTGATTAAGGGCTCGTTTGGGAGTGATTATGTAGAAGCGATTTTACTCATTAGTGATTTTAACATAATCACTTTATGTTAGTAGCACTTTTGCGCAAAATCAGTTCATCGTTTGGCTACCAACATAGAAGTGCTTTCATATTGTAAAAAAGTGATTTTGATGTTATTCGTAGCGTTTGGCTTCCCAAAGAAAAAGAGTTTTTTTTTGTTGCCTTTTTTTGGTATTTTTATAATCAAACATTTTTAAATTGATAACCCCAATCACATAATATTATATCTTGGGCATTCTTAAACGAAAATTGAAAATTTATAGCTTCAAATCATACTTCTTGAAAAAAAAACATGAATAAATATTTTTTGGGATGAGAAGATATATTGTTAATCGACACAAATATCAAATAGACATAAGAAGATTTGCAATTGTCTCGCGTTCGTCATCCATCTCTCGTGCACGGGTTACATTTTCTTGTACAATAGTCTCTTCCATACTAGTCATTCCATCATCTGTTTGGGGAAGTAACTCTTCATCATCATCATATGGTTGGAACTCTACATCCATCATTGAATGAATTCTTATGAAGTTATGGAGAGCCATTGAAGCGATAACGACTTGTACTTGTTTTTCCAAAGGAAAATTATGAATTTGACGTACCATTCTCCATCGGTTTTTCCAAACACCAAATGTTCTTTCAATTGTGCATCTTAGAGATGAATGTCTGTGATTGAAGATTTCTTTTTTCCCTCTTGGTTAGCTTCCTCGTCGGAAATCCGGAAGATGATATCGCTCACCCCTATAAAGGCCTAAATATCCTTTCATTTGTGGATAGCCAGCATCAACCAGATAATATTTACCTATACATGTGAATCAATAACAATATTAGTATTATTTGCCATATTTGATATAAGAAACATATCCAAGGCGAAATAGTAAAGGAAAATATTGAACTTGATGACATTTTGATTACTAACCAGTAGGTGGATGTGGAAATTTCAGTGTCGGTATTCTTAAGGCCTCCATAAATATACGTGCATCGTGAGCAGCACCCTCCCATCCAGCCCAAGCAAATGTAAAGCACATATTAAAATCACATACAGCCATGATATTTTGGGTAGTAATGCCTTTTCTACCAATATAAGGTACTTGCCTTTCTCTAGGCACAACAACTGGTACATGTGTTCCATCAATTGCCCCAATGCAATCTTTAAAGTATGGCCAATATCGATTATCATCTTTAATTTTCTTTGGAACTCTTTTGAATTCAGGATCACTAGGACTTATGAGATCAGTAGCCATTCGAGATATAGCTTCTAATATTATGTCAAACCACCTTGACACAGTCTCCCCTGAATGCTGGAACCTTTCTTGTACCATTCTATTAGTAAAGTCATGACCTAATGTGATAAGAAACATTGCTAAAGCCTCTAGTAATGGTATTTCTCCACCTTCTTTCAAACCAGAGGTACTTGTAAGGGTCTCCAACAATTTCTTAAACACATGTTTTTCCATCCTAAATTGTTCATGACACCTTACCTCATGGCCATTCAAAACTTCAATTACCCATTTATAACCAGTATGAGACGAAGTCCTACATGGTTCTTTATCAACATATTTAAGCCATTCAGACACAACCATCACACACCCTACAGATATTAAGTCATAAAATTCATCATCACTATCATCTGACAAAGAGTCAGTATTATCACCATCACTGTTGCTTGAACTCATGTCTGTACAATTGAAAAAACCAAATAAGCAAAACAATATAAGCATCTTCCCAACAAAAATAACTCATTTAGATAATGTAAACAATTCAATAATATATAAAACAAAATAATATGTCTACCATTCCATATTGTAAAAAAATAAAATGATAATAAACTAATAACAAAAAAAGTGTGACACATTAAACTTTCTTGTTTCTAAGCCACATCTAGGTTTGGTTATTTTAACACAATAAACATATCTCTATTTTTTCTTTAAGTTAAGATATCAGCAGCTTTCACGAAAAGGTCATCATCATTGACAATTTCTGGAATTCCTTCAACCACCTGCATCACTTCCTCAATGCTACAACCAGCCTTGTCTTTACTTTTAAAAGTGCTACTTCGATGTTCAATTGCATGTAAAATAGAATCTAACCGCTTCGTCACCTTAACCCCAACTCCAGGTCTTTTCGAATCTCTTTTCCTTTTATTGTCAGTTTCAACATCAACTATTTCATCAAGTCCAGCATTAAGATCAGTAGGATCCCCAAACTCATCCTGATCCTCAACCAGAATCTCTTTATTATGTTCTCCTATAGCTGGACCATTGTCAACATCCTCTACCACAAAACCTTGTGAGGGTGCCCAAGCGCATTCACCCGTGACAGCAACATCTTTAAACAAAATATCTAACTGGTCAACATGTTTCAATCCATGTGTTCGAAATCTTGCGACCTCAGGTTTCTCCTACAGTAATAATATGAACTAAAATTTTTAAAAATTGATATAATACTACAAATTAAGTATTAGCTTTAGGAAATAAAAATTTCACCTTTATTTTCTTATCCCACCATTCATCGGTAGCTTTGATTGTTTGCTTCACAGGATCCCATCCTAAGCCAGTCTCTTTTGCAACCAAACTTGTCCATAACTGCCATTCTTTCTTAAGTCCAGTCCATTTGTTCTTCAATTGTCTATAGTCGTAGTTCCTTTTAGTAATATCATTAAACTTCTTTATAACATTTTTCCATCCAACCTTATTAAAATGACTACTTGGTCGATTACCACCTAACGTCTCAGCAACACAAATCTTGATAACAACCTCAATTCCCTTCTCAGCCCATTTTGCTTTCTCTTGTTTTTCTTTTTCTTCCCGACTTTCATTTTGGGATGAGTTCACTATATTGTTAGACATTTTCTAATAAACAAATTGGACAAAGAACAAAAATTAATGATGATTGTACAGTATAACAAGAAGTTTTGCTCAACATACAAGTATATAAGACAAAGCACAAACAAAAGAAAAAAAAACAAAAACAAACAGAAGCTAGTATCAAACAGAAACAAAAACAAACAGTAGCACGTTTGCATTAATACATAAACCAAAAGTTCTCAGACAGAACAACAAATTGAAACTAAGCATTAATACATAAACCAATAGTTCTGGTATGTGTCTATACGTGTCTCTCTCCCTCTCTTAATTTCTAAAAGACAGCCACATGGCATTGACATCAATGTGGAATGAAGATTGCCTTACACGTTCATCTTCATATTCTTATGTCTGATGATGTGGGGAAGGGAGCTCCAAACAGATTGCAAATAGGAAACAGATTGCAAATTAAACAAATTGCAATAGGAAACAGCTCTTTCTATATCCTTCTGTTATTGCAAAAGAAAGTGTTTATAATAGCATCGACATATACGCAAGCTTTTACCCATCTCTCTCTCTCTCTCTCTCTCACTCTCTCACACATAAATTCAATTTCTGATTCTGATAATATTTTTACTAATAACTATTAGTGATATAATATGTGAATCAAGAAGCATGAGAATTTCATAGTACTATCTGATAAAAGAGAAAAGTTAAAATAAAAAATATCAAGATAAATATAGAAGTGCATAAACATATATAGTGAGAACAGAGAGGATTTACCTTGAAGAATGATAGCCTTGCAGAGTTTGAGCGAGAGAGGGGGGAAGCCTTTGCAGAGAAAGAATAGAGGCAGAGACAAAGACGTGATAACTAGGGTGGATGAAACGTGTGGATTGCTTAAAAATTGTAGGGTTAGGCTTTTTGGCCATATTGTAAAAATAATAGGGATAGTATTGGTATTAAAAAAGTTTCATTAATTGGAATCAAGTGATTCCCGGTTTTAAAAAAAAAACCACTTCCTGGGAGAAGCACCTCCCATGTGCTTCTCCCTAAAATCACTTTAAGTGATTTTAATACATATTTTAAGCGCTTTTAAATTTTTGCCAAACACCATATTTTTTAAGCAAAAGCGATTATACTAAATAATAAGTGATTTTGGCCCTCTCAGAATCACTCCCAAACGAACCCAGTTACCTTGCAATATTGTACATAACCTGTAAATACGACATGAATTCGCACGAAAATTTCACTATTCGGATCCGAGTTATTATGTGGTTAAGCTAACATGTCATGTTGTGTAAATTTTCGAATACCCATTAACCCGTTAAGCTTATGGGCATTTTTGTAAATTTATATATATTTTTTTTTCTCCTTCTCTTTCTTATTTTTCTCTTTCTCCCCCATTCCCTCAACTCTCCCGCTATCTTTCTCTCAAGTTTCTTCTCTTTTCATTAAGTCGTGTTAACCCTTTAAGAAAAGCGGGTTGACCCGAATGCCAAGTGTTCCTCGGCACAATATAAAGAATTATGTTGATCGTTAAAAGCATCTTTAAAAGAATATGCAAAATGAAGCATGTATATTTTGCCTACCCTTTCGAAGAAGAAAATGCTTATATAACACATTCAAACATGATTTGCCCACTCATTCATTGGTGATGGAGATAAAACAAAAATTAGTATCTCGTAACTTCACTAATCATTTTGTGATGAAAACCCAATGTAACTTTATATAAATGAATTACGTTATGGGGAATGCTAGCAACCTTCTCTCTAACCTTCTCCTTTGGACCTTCTCCTTTCTTTGCTTGACATGTGTCATTCTCCTTACACTTAAAACAATGTCATTAATATATTATTCAAGTTAACTTTTGTTTTTCAAGTTTACCCTTATTAAATGTATTCAATTTATCCAAAAACATTTCACAACTTTCTTACCATCTTATTAATTTTTTTTTAAAGAACATATTTGCTTTTAAGAGGAAATGCCCTTTTAAAAAAAAACAAACAAAGGGTTTAGATAGAAAAAAAAAGAAAAAAAAAAGTCCTTTGTGTTTTAAAAAAAACGGACATTTCCTCTTTTTTGAAAAAAAAAAGTATATATGTTCTTTAAAAAAATAAAAAAAATTAATAAGATGGTAAGAAAGTTGTGAAATGTTTTTGGATAAATTGAATACATTTAATAAGGGTAAACTTGGAAAGCAAAAGTTAACTTGAATAATATATTAATGACATTGTTTTAAGTGTAAGGAGAATGACACATATCAAGCAAAGAAATGAAAAGATCCAAAGGAGGAGGCTAGAGAGAAGGTTGCTAGCATTTCTTTTAGGGTATACATTCAATTTTGCCTGCAGTTGGGAACTTCAGTCACATCCTTCTAAATATCATAAATAATCCATATTAATTTCATAATATCATTTACTTCGAGGTAGTTGATGAAATCGAAAGACAAGACAAGACAATCTAGTTAAATTACCAACAAGAAGACAAGACTGTCCATCTGGATAATGGTGCCGTGAATTCAGATATTTGTTTCTCTTGTCACTACAAAATAATGCAGCTAGATAATAATGGACCTCTAGATAATTTAGTCATGAATAGCAAATAATCAATCCTAATCTTCCATCTGAATATGAAATATTTAATAATTTGTGTAGCTATACTATTGGTGGTTTTCAATATATAATAGTGCCACAACACCGGCAGATAGATGGTTGTCGGGAAATGGAAGGTACATAAAATATTATTTGCTTCAACCCACATGACATGTGTGACAAATTCAAGTCACAAGGGCTTTAATATTTGTATCTATCTTACTGGAGACAATTCAAATATTTTTTATAAGGACTCGTGGTATTATTCAATTCTCTACAGTATAAGCTACAGATATATAATTGAATGGTTGTGTATTATAGGAATGAAAATGAAAATTCTTATAAAGGCTTTGTAGTTCAAGCGATTAAGAAATTACATATGTGATCAAATTTTACGTTTGAGAATTTCGTCTCTAATATCGCTTGTATTTTTTTAAAAAAACTGCATTTGTATTTTATAGATATTAGGAATTTAATAGATGGTTCAACTCCGAATGTGATGACTGGAATTTGACCACCAAAAAAGGAAAATCATAGAAGACTGGAAATCCTGATTTAATTAAATAAAAGTGGTAGGTTTAGATAGTTATAGATCCCAACCAACGGATGACATTGACTGATAGAGCATTGTCCCCTCTTATCAGCTTTACTTAGACCACCATGCACTACTGACTGCCCTAATAAATCGACTGGCCTGCAGCTGCAGCTTCGGCTGGAGTGTTGGAGAAAGCAACAAAGCTGCAGCACAAACAGGGGTAACAAGGACGCTTCCCTTTCTCTAAAGATAGAGATAAGAGTAATCACATCTGACGCTTGTCATTTATTTTTGCCTTACTTAATTACTTTCCTCATCTCACCAGTTTGTTCCTTTATTTTTATATCCAACCTCGCTGTCCATTTCCACTATGGGGTGAACGTGACCTTTAGGTCCACAATCGCATAAATTCAGAGCTAAAGTATGTGTAAAGTCTTTGGTAGAATTATGTGTGTTAGGTTTATTAATCAGGATGATGAGCTTGTTTTTTTAAGATAGATAAATGGGGGCTATGTACCTATCTCTTTATCTTTTTAGCAATGAATGAACGAACAATAAACAAACCCGTGAGTGAGATTTCTTGTCTTGGTTGTTTATTACATGTGAGGTGGGAAACGTTTGCGTTGGTTGGGCGGTACTCACCAAAAACTCAACCACCAAAAGACAAACTTTGATGGAATTATGTACAATATAAATCATTATTAGGGGTTTATTTGGAAGTGAATTTGGTTTAGAAGGAAACATGTCTCACGTGGTTTTTCATAAAATAATTAGTGATTTTAAGTGATTATAAGAAGAAGCGCTTCTTATATACTTCGTCGTAAAGTCACTTAAAGTGATTATTTAGAGAAATAACTTCATAAAAGTGATTATTGATTTTTTCATAATCACTCTCGAACAAGGCCTAACTATCACTAGAGACTACATTGAGAGTAGATAAAGTAGAATAGAGGGACACACCCGTGAGCCCAAAACACCTAAAAATTCGACAACTTTTTTGACATTATACGCGGTGCTGCTCAACAATCTGTGATGAAATTGATAAGTTTGGATTGTAGTTCGGAAATTGGGTAATTGGTTGTGCATAACTGGATCCCACGTATATTATATGACTGAAAAATGCTATTGACAACCGTTCACACACACGTTGTTATGAAGAATATTGTGGACTGTTGACGTAAGTGAGTGTCGAAACCTATTAATTGGAAATATCTTCACATGAGCGTGTAAGCGAGTGTCCCTAACACGAGATATTTAGGTGTGAAAAAGGTTGAGACTTGACGGCCTTTATCTGCAAAGAGAAACTGAGCCCAAGGTTAAGTGGGACTAGTGGGATAATCTAGTCTTATAATCTACACCACCAGCTACTACTGTACAAGGCATGGGTAAACTTAAAAGAAACAAAAGCCTGAAATGCATGTGACGAAAGCTTAATAAGCTGTTTCCACTCACTCACATTTTTGTCCCGACGCAATCATTCGAAGAACCAGACAACCACCCACCGTCCCTTCCTTTCTCTCTCTCTCTCCCCCTTCTCTGCCCTTTTCCCATGATTTCACTGTGCCTGCTAATATCTACACAGTAACACTATCTCTCTCTCTTTTATGTATATTAAATAAAAGGTTCTTCTTCTCCCTTCAAAACAACAGAGGAGTGAATATACAGTGAGATTTGGGAGGCTCGTTGGCAAAGCAAAATGCGCACCATGTCTACCTCTGTTATGCTTCTTTTCCTTCTGGGTCTCTGCCATTTATCCACGGCAGCGGCGGTGGACAAAAACGACATTGCGAAGCCAAAAATGACTGCAAGCACTACTTACATCGTTCACATGGCCAAATCCGAAATGCCGGCGAGCTTCGAGCACCACACTCACTGGTACGACTCGTCGCTCAAAACGGTTTCCGACTCGGCCGAAATGGTGTATATTTACAGCAATGCCATCCACGGCTTCTCCACCAAGCTCACCCCCGAACAAGCCGAGTCACTCCAATCCCAACCTGGAGTGCTCTCCGTGCTTCCCGAGTTGAAATACGAGCTCCACACGACTCGGACCCCGGAATTCCTCGGACTCGGCCAAACCACCGAGACGATCCCCCAGTCCAACTCGGAGAGCGACGTCATCATCGGAGTGTTAGACACCGGCGTCTGGCCCGAAAGCAAGAGCTTCGACGACACCGGACTCGGACCCGTACCCGGATCCTGGAAAGGCGCGTGTGAATCGGGTACCAACTTCAATTCTTCAAACTGCAATCGGAAACTAATCGGGGCCAGATACTTCGCCAAAGGCTACGAGGCCACGGTGGGCCCCATCGAAACCTCCAAGGAATCGAAATCCCCACGCGACGACGACGGCCACGGCACCCACACCGCATCAACCGCCGCAGGGTCGGCCGTTTCCGGCGCGAGCCTCTTCGGCTATGCCCCGGGAACCGCACGCGGGATGGCCCCTCGCGCCCGAATCGCCGCGTACAAGGTGTGCTGGGTCGGCGGCTGTTTCAGCTCCGACATTGTGGCGGCAATCGACCAGGCCATTGCAGACAACGTGAATGTTCTCTCGATGTCGCTCGGCGGCGGAATGTCGGACTATTTCCGCGACAGCGTGGCAATCGGAGCTTTCTCGGCGATGGAGAAGGGAATTTTAATATCGTGCTCTGCCGGAAATGCGGGTCCCAGTGCCTACAGCTTGTCGAACTCGGCTCCATGGATCACGACAGTTGGAGCAGGCACACTGGATCGGGACTTCCCGGCTTTCGTCAGCCTGGGCAACGGTAAAAACTTCTCGGGCGTTTCACTCTACCGCGGTAACTCCAACGCAGCCCCAACCGCCTTGACGCCGTTTGTTTACGCGGGTAACGCGAGCAACGCCACGTCAGGAAATCTATGCATGATGGGGACTTTAATTCCAGAACGAGTGAAGGGGAAAATAGTGATGTGCGACCGTGGAGTCAACGCAAGAGTCCAAAAAGGAGCGGTGGTCAAGGCCGCCGGAGGAGTGGGCATGATATTGGCCAACACCGCCGCCAACGGCGAGGAGTTGGTGGCGGACTCTCATTTATTACCGGCCACGTCGGTGGGTCAGCAAAACGCCGACGTCATCAAGAGCTATTTGTTAAAGGATCCGAACCCGACCGCCACGATATTGTTCGAGGGAACTAAAGTTGGGGTCCAGCCTTCACCCGTAGTCGCGGCATTTAGTTCTCGGGGCCCGAATTCAGTCACTCCGGATGTACTGAAACCCGATATTGTTGCTCCAGGTGTCAACATCCTAGCTGGGTGGTCCGGGGCTATAGGCCCCACGGGACTGGCGATCGATGCGAGACGCGTGGCGTTCAATATTATCTCGGGGACGTCAATGTCTTGTCCGCACGTAAGCGGGCTAGCGGCGCTGCTGAAGGGGGCTCACCCGGAGTGGAGCCCCGCGGCGATTCGCTCGGCGCTTATGACCACCGCGTATACAGCGTACAAGAACGGACAGAAGTTGCAGGACGTGGCGACCGGAAAGCCGTCCACGCCGTTCGATCACGGCGCTGGACACGTAGACCCTATATCGGCCCTCAATCCGGGGCTGGTCTATGATCTAACGGTGGACGATTATCTAAACTTCCTCTGCGCGTTGAATTACTCGGCAAGTGAGATTAACAGTTTGGCGAAGAGATCGTATACGTGTGACGAGAAAAAGAAGTACAGCGTGAGGGATCTAAATTACCCATCTTTTGCCGTGAACTTCGAGAGCAGATATGGAGGCGGGACGACGTCGTCTAACGTGGTGAAGTACACGAGGACGCTGACGAATGTGGGCCCCCCGGGAACGTACAAGGCGAGTGTGACGTCGGAGAGCCAGTTGGTGAAGATATCGGTGGAGCCCGAAACGCTGAGTTTTAGTCAGGCGAATGAGAAGAAAGTGTATACGGTGACGTTTAGTGCGGTGGGTTCGGTGCCGGCGAATGCAGTGAATAGCTTCGGGAGGGTGGAGTGGTCGGACGGGAAGCACATCGTAGGAAGTCCAATAGCAATAAGCTGGAATTAGGAGGCAAATTAAATTATAATGGCTTGATTTCTTAAGTCAAAGAGTGTTAAGGAATCAAGAAATGTTGTAAGATTATGTAGCGGTGATTATGTTAATTTCGAGCTAACACTGAAGGTCAGAATTTGAGAAAGAAAGACAATTTGAAGTGGAATTTTCTGTACAGTTGTTGTTTGGTAATATGCATATGCATGTCGAGACTGCTCTAGCTGAATTTGGAGGTGAGTGGTTTGCATGAATAAAGAGGCCCAACACGGCCGTAGATCCACTGTCCACAAAATAGAGTTGGGCTCAGTCTACGTGAATCCAGTGTTAGCCACACATCCAACATGTGACATGACATTATGTGTGAAACCGGCCGGCCCATGTATATAGTTGTAATTATTCTACTGTAAGAGAAGGAAGATTGAATTCGGAGGCACCCATGTTTTATGACTTATGTCTGAATCAATGGTATATCTTTAAGACAGAGAATCTGTGTTTTTTCTTCCTAAAGTTAGGAGGGAGAAGGGAAACTATTTCAGCTTGGAACCCGATACTGCTTGAGAGTAGACACAAAATCTGGGCCATTCCCAATCGATAAGACGCATAATTTAATGATATACCTTTTTATTTTGGCGCACGCAAGATTGATCCACACCATATGTCATCCGGGACCGAGATCCTACTTCATCGTCCTTTTTTTAGCTTATCCTATTTCGTTGTCATGGATGGAAGCTACCTAGCCACGTAAACCCGGCAACTCCTAGCAATGAGACACGTTTCCGACACTCTACACGTGGCAAACTTGCAGAGCAAGAGATAAAACATGATAAAAGGACACATGCAGAAGCCAAGAGAAACCGAAGCAAATCAATCCAAACTCACATAAACCAGAAAAATCGATATTCGTAATGGAGAGGACGCAAGAGCAGCAGCAGCAGCTGAACAGGAAGCCAGCTGCCGGGGCTAGCGAAGCCAAGGGGAAGATAGAGGAAGGGCTGCCAATGAAGGACAGTCCGTACCTGCAGTACGATGACTTGGAGGATTACAAGCGTCAGGCCTATGGAACGGAAGGCCATCTCCAGGTGGAGCCCGGCCGAGGCGCCGGGTCCACCGAGGGCCCCACTGTTTCTGGCGCCAATGTCTCCTCTCAGGGTGATATCTCCGCCACCGAAGCTATTAACCGCCAAGGAGTTCCTTAATTAGTTTTGTTTTTATTTTTCTTCATTTCAAGTTTGAATTTGGTAACGCTGCATGTGTGTTTTAATTGTGTCCAGATCTAATAGAAGTGTTTTCGTTGAGTTTGACTTTTTGATTTTGTTTTGGATTTCAGATATGATTCAAGTAAGCAGAACGTTCTTGTTTTCGAAAGCATTTCATAAGTCGTATTATAATTACAATCATGGGTCGGAAACATCAAACATATATATATATATATATATATATATACATATACATACATAGCAGACAAAAGGGAGAGGAGAGGAGACGTTTGCCATATCTCTTCACCTCCTGAAACATTGAACGGTAACTGCTAAATGAGAGGGACGTTTTATGTAACTTTTTATTTTACTTTTTGGATATCCCACAAATTTTCTTTCAATCTTTTGATAGTTGACTTGAATATCCACAAAGAGATCTTCGACGAGGGCATCCAAGTCAAGCTAGGAAGCTCCTCAAATCAAGGCCATGTTTTTTTTCTATTGATTGATAAGCGCACAACAATATTGACAGTGTTTTTTTTTCTTTTTGGGTGAAGAAAACAGTTACAATCTTGGATTCTTTGATCTACCCCATAAAGTTTCATTCACAATTATCATACACAACTTTTTTGTTTATATACCATAAGCTTTTTGTAGTTCTCTTAAATCAAAATACAAGCGATATTTTTTTTAATATTTTTTTTATACAAGCAATTTGGGGAGAGAGAGAGAGGTTCACACAAATATTCATTGAGTGCTTGAGGGTTTCGAGCCTCGGTTTACATGAGTGGAGGTGGAAGAACTCAACTAACTGAGTTATTCTCACATAGCATACAAGCAATATTGAAAGAAGAGGGATTCGAAAACAACCGAAAGAAGAGGGATTCGAAAACAAAGATAACTGTACAACATGAACTACGAACTCCTTAATACACTCATAGCCAAGTGCGGATCTATGTATGGGAAATCCATTATATTACTCTGTTAGGCAAAGCTACTTGCGCATCGTTGAAGTACAAATTTCACCCACCAAGTATATAAACAAAACAAAAATATCTCAACTGCCATGCCAATGTTTTTCATCATTCATAAACATTTGTTGTACCATCCCCACTTGGAGTTGGGCATGCAAGATCCATCAATTTATTTAATTAAAAAAAAAGAGAGAGTATAGACACAGAAACTAGAGACAAACTGGCCCTCAGCTAATGGCCGGCCCCAGAAGCCAAAGTTCACAGTTCCTTTCTTCACTCCCAAACAAGAAAAAGAGACACACTATTCAATTGGGTCGCCTGCCTCCTTTTCTTCCTTAAATTCAATAATTTTTTATAGTGCTTTTTCGGCACTCCACCTCCTTTATTTCCCTAACCCTTTTTTTTATTTACTTTTTTTTTTAAATAAAAAAAAATTGGTCCAAAACCCTTCTCTTTATATTCCACATGTCTCACTTCCTCCCACCCTCTAAGCCTCTCTATCCTCTACTTATAATCCTCTCAAATTCTCACTGTCTTATGCTTAGTAATTTCTTATCACAATCACAGTGCTTGTAGAAATGGCAACAATTGCAGCAATTACAAACATTTCTGCTGCCGCTGAAGACAGAGTACTGGATCAAGATTCAGTCTCTGAGCAACTAGAGGAAGAAGAAGAAGAAGACAATGTGTCACTAAGTGATCTTCCAGTGAATTTGAAGAAACAAGATCAAACCCAATATCCAAACACTAAATCTGAGCCTACCCATGTCAATATTGAAGCCCAAGATGAAGAATTTGATTTTGGTTATTCAATGCGCGGCACCTCTTTTTGGGCTGACACCAAAATGTGTGCTGCCGATGAGGTGTTCTTCCAAGGCCAAATTCTCCCTCTCCGCCTCTCAGTCAGCTCCGACGCCGGCTTTGCCGGCTTAACCAGACGGTCTCCGGCGAGCAGCGTCGGGTTCAGAAGCAATAGCTGCAGAAGCAGAATCAGTCCCAATTCATCATTTAGCAGCAACAGCAGCTCCACCACCACCACCACTACCACAACAGCAACAAGAGGCATTGCTTCAAGCTCAAAGCGGAGAAGCCCAAGAAGACCCAGAAACCAATTCTACACAGAGCCAAGTCCAAAAGCCCAAATCAAAATTCCAAATCCAAGGCTGGAAAAAGCTGGCAGCAGGCGCCATAATTCTTCGATGTGGGATTTTTTCAGGTTGGGTTTGGTCCGTACGCCTGACATTGAATTGCAGGACATTAACAAGGCACTTCGAAGTAATAGCAGCGCCAATAAAAGTTCCGTCAGTCGAAATAGCAGCGTTAGCAGCACCCACAGCACTAATTTCATCGCAAATTACAACAACGCCTCGAGCACCGGCGGTGTTTTGAAGTCGGAGGACACGAAACTGAGCAAACAGAGCAAGCAGAGAAAACAGAGGTTTTTTGATAGCATTCATGGCTGCAAGTGCTCGTTCGAAACTGTGGCGTCCGATAACCTGATCGTCAAGAGCAAATCATCAAGCAGTGGGAGAAGCAGCTCGAGTCACATCAATGAAAGCAGAACAGAAACAGAATACTCGGCTGCGCATGCCATGCTGAAAGAAAAAGTAGAGGTGGAGTTGAAGATGATGAAGAATAATAAGCAGAAGCAGAAGCAAAAGCAAAAGCAAAAGCAGGCCATGTCACATCACAGAACGTATGAATGGCTAAAGCAGCTGTCGCATGCAAATTCGCCTCCTCCTCTTCCTGTGCATGTTTAAAGTTGATGGACCATGGTGGGGATTTAGATTGTAGAAAAAGCTTTCTTCTCATCAAGAAAGCTATACTGATTTCCCATGTAACGCTTGTAGCTTTTCTGATGAGAACTTTGACTTCGGTAGAACAATCATAGGCTCTCTAGCATGCCTGCAAATTTGCTTTATTTCACTATCATTTTGTTTTAGCCTTTTTTGGGTTTGCTTTAATTTGAAATAATATTACATTAGCATGCAATGCAAGTTTGTAGTTGGCCATAGATGGAATGGGGGCTCCAATATCAAGATTACTCTCTTTCTTGATTAATTTTGAATTTAGTTTTAATTAGTTGTATATTTTTATGATTAATTTTGAAGATTTATGTTTAAACTAATTATAAACTCAAGCATGGGTGTGGGAGATAGTGCATTCCATGGCAGCATATATGGTTCAAAGTTGTGGTTGTGATGATTAGAGTGTGAATGTGTTGAAGCTTTTTCTGGTGGGTGTGGTCCGTGTGGAGCTGTGGGGTTTAAGATATTGGAGATTTAGGTGGCATTATTTTGAATTTTCGTGACATTCACAACCCACAAGGGAACACGAGACAGAGAGAGAAAGAGAGAGGTGCTGGGGAAAAGCTAATGGAAGAGGCAAGCTGGAATGGAAAGACTCATGAAGTCCCTTCAAAGTTCAAAAAGAATGGGAAAAGGGGGTTGTGATTTTTTTTAGGGAGATTCACTATAATATCCAATATTGGAGACCAATTTATAAAAAAAAACCTATATGAAATGAACTTTAAAAACACACCCAAAGCCCATTTACAACATAACAATAAGATTTTTAACTTCTTTTAGATTACAAAACTGCAACTAATTTATTAAAACAAACCTAACCCAAAAACCTAAAAAAAAATCCCAAAACACTCAATGGGGCATCAAAGTAATTTAATAATTAAAATTAAATTCAACAGGGCCAGCTGTCATTTTTTGGGTATGTTTATACAAATTAAATAGTGTAGGGTTTATTTATAGTTTTAGTGCTAAGAATGAGTATTTGATTAAATATCTTCTTTTTTTTCTTTGATACAAATGATATTTTATTAAACTATGGGGAGTGGGATTTGAATTCAGGGGCAGAATGGGAAGTACATCTACTCTAACCAACTTGGATAAATAAACTCATGTATGCAGTTGAGAAAAATCTTAACTCAAAACTTTTATTATTATTTGTACAATTCATATAAATAAATAAAAAGACTGTGCATAACTAACTATTCTTAACCATTGAAGTTACAATTCTTTCTCTTTGGTTTGGGGTTTGCCCCTTATATTATCAACAAATTTACAATTCTTTTACAAGACAACACTCATAGGAAAGAAAAACAAAAGATGAAATTTTTTATTATTTTATGCATATATTCTTTTTATAGTTTTGGGATTTTGAAGGTCTAACACGGCTCCACTTAAAAAGTAAACAATTGGGAGCTTAAGAGCATAATAGATTTTGACTTTGAAAATTAAGTAATGTTAAACCCACCAAATTTGTGATAAAACTTCATTGACCAAATAATATTTTTTAAATTTGGTCTTAATTTTCATTCATTTTTAGCATATAAAATACTAACATATCTATAACTGCTCTTTATCACTTAAGCTATAATCCCCTTGCGCATAAGGAGATGTTATTTGATAAACAAACTTAATGAATTTAGCAGAACTGTTGAAACTTTTATGTGTATGGTTTATTTATAATCAAATTATTAATTTATGCTGGAATTCTTTCTTTCATAAAAAATAATTGATATCCATTAGTTCTATGAATACGCCTACTAATACTAAAGAGAAATTATATATGTTACAATTAATTTTTTTATATAAATTTGCAATCTTAATTGGGATGCGTATACCAGAGTTTCTTCGATCTTGCATGATCGTTAGTGAAGATGCACCAAATTGTCTTAATTTTGATGTTAGATCGCTCCTTTTATTGTAATGACCCTTTGTAGTTAGTGGTTTCTTTAGCTGAATTATGAATGCAATCCTAAAATTTTTACAGTAAAAAAAATTCCCCCTTATTTACCAACTTGATAATCTCAACATTTTCTAAAATATTTCTCCTTGGACAAAGAAAAAAATTTCCCAGCACCTGGGGAGATACCAACTTCCCAATAGTGGTCAAAAAGTGCGGGATTTCTGAAGCACGTCCATCCAAAGTCTTTCACCTTGTTGAAATGGAATGCCCCAAATTTTAAATTCATACCCTAGAGTCTTTCCAATTATTTGATTTCGACTTTTTGTCTCGCATATCTGAAAATTTACGGTAAGATATTTGATCGATTTCCTGGTAACATTTAAAAGATGAGGAGAAAGGCATGCAGTAACATTTCAGAAAATTAAGGATTTCAAAGGGTTTCCATGACCTTCAACGACAGTTTTTTAGGTCAAGTACTGAGTTTTTTTTGGGTGTGAATGTCGGAGAGGTGGGAATATTCCTCTTATTCATTTCCTTTCAAACTTCCTCTTTACTCTTGTTGGAGCAGGTAAGGAATTAAAATAATGAATTCGAATAATCATTAGATCTAGGGGCCTCGCTCTTTTCTTTGTTAACTTACAGTAAGAAAAAGTTTCATAACCAAACAATCAAATTAGAAATTCTCTTTTAAACAATTGGAAAAAAAAAAAATTCATTGCTAGACTATGAATACTCATCCTTTTCTAATGAACGAATTTTACATCGACAATGTATAAATAACATGCTGATACGTTTTGTTATTGACATGTTATCGATAATGACATTGTGATGAACGATAGGCAAAACATAATTTTCTTAAAAGACGAACATGTTACAAATTAATATGCAAAGAGTAATTAATGGCTCCTTCTTGTTTGTCTTGTCAAACGACAAATGGAGGAAGTTGGTTTCTTTGTACTATGGGAACACGAAAATATTATTGTTTTTGGACAAAAGAAGAAAGAATCAAATTGTTCGTTGGCTGTTAGAGTTGTTATGGATTATATTTGCACACACTTTAAATATTAAAAGTCAAATTAAAAAAAGAATTGTAATAAATCATGGGAAAATGAAATAAAATGGTCTCCATCCCCAATTTCCTGCGTTGTGAGCTCTATCTATCTATCTATCCATATTCGTGACCAGACTTTTGCTCCCCAAAATTCCTGAAGAATATGATTCTCTCTCTTTCATCCGACAAATCACAAGATAAGTTTTCTCCGTCCACCTCAACACCACCTTTCCAGAAACCGCTTACTTTGAACCGTTGGATATCATTCAAACCCCCACATTCCAAAAACCAAACACCAAAAAACCCGTTTCTCTTTTTAAAATACGACTTATCAAATTGAAAACCCACCAAAGTCTTTGTCTTTGGTCCTACTTCCCTCTCTCACTCCCCTTCTCTCAACCCAAAAAAATTTCCCGGAAATCTTCCATTCCCCTTTAACACGGAATCCCCACGTCTCTCTCTTTTTATTCCAACATCACCCTTCCTTAACCACCAAAACCAAACCAAACCCCACGCATTTTCTTTCTTTCTTTCATAGTTTTTCCCAAAAACCGAAGTGAGAGAATCTAATAAGTAACCAGAAAACCAGAGAGAACCCAGTTGGACAATGATGTTGGAGATGTGTCGGAGGCCATTGGAGAAGTGCTTTGGAGGAGGAGATGGTGGAGATGGGCTCCTTTGGCACATGGACCTCAAGCCCCACTCTTCTGGGGACTATTCGATCGCAGTGGTTCAAGCCAATTCGGCTTTGGAAGACCAGGGACAGGTGTTCACATCCCCTTACGCCACGTATATTGGGGTCTATGATGGCCATGGTGGCCCTGAAGCTTCTCGCTTCATCACCAATCGCCTCTTCCCCTTCCTTCACAGTATGTAGTACACCCTCTAGCTCTACAGAAACACCCACCCCTGTTTTTGTTTTTACTTTTTAGCTGTTTATTTTCTTGTATTTTTAGTAATTACATTTCAATTACTAGAAGAATTTTATGTCTTGAGACCAAAAAGACCTCAACTTGAACTTATAGATCATACAGATTTGCTTAGCTCAAGTAGCTATTCAACTTTCAAGAAATTCAAACCAACATAGAACATGCTTTATTATGTTCTTATTCTATTGTTTTTCCTTTGACTTAATATTTTCATCAATTAGTCAGATGTGTATTTTTCTTTGGGTTATTATTATGATAAAGTTCACAACTTTTCTTCAAGATGAAGGGGAAAGATTTTTGTTTTTATTTAAATTGAGTTGGTTTTTTATTCTTCAGAGTTTTCAATTGAACAAGGTGGACTGTCAGAGGATGTGATAAAGAAGGCATTTGATGCAACTGAGGAAGAGTTCTTGGACTTGGTTAAGGCATCATGGCCTGTCCGGCCGCAGATTGCTTCCGTAGGTTCATGTTGTTTGGTTGGCGCAATTTCAAATGGTGTTTTATATGTTGCTAATCTCGGAGATTCGAGGGCAGTTCTTGGCCGGAGAGCATCAGAGGGGCAGGCGGTTGTGGCAGAGCGATTGTCCACAGATCACAATGTTGCAGTGGAGGAAGTGAGGAAGGAGGTTAAGGATCTTCACCCTGATGATGCACACATTGTGGTGTACACTCGTGGAGTTTGGCGAATTAAGGGCATTATTCAGGTACAAAATGTGGCTTCTTTTACTTCATTGATCCTCTGGCCCGTCCGTATTTCTGTATTGATTAACATATCTAATTTTGACTTATGTTAGGAGCAAATTTAATGTGTCCTGGAATATCAGATGACTATATTGATAAGAGCTTGATGGAATTTATTTTTGGTCTACTGTCTTGTCATGATGGTAATAATGTTAGTACTGATGCTTTTCCCCAGTATGTACCATATTGTGGAGTACTAAACTAGAAAGTTAATAATTTTATTTTATTTCTTCTTTGGGGAAGTTCAAAAGATTTTCATTTCTAAGGGTAAGTTGTTTCAAATCTGAATGCGAGGTTTGGTTCCATGATGAATTAGAATCTGGGGGAACTTGTCCCCACCTGCACCTAATTTTTTTTGTGAAACTTTGTGATATGAGTATAATAAATGGGGTGGATTTGCCTTTAATATGTTATTTTTCCCTGCAGTAATACCATACTGTTCCAAAGCATGAACTCGTTCTTGAAAGATGAGATCCTGCTCTGCTTAGGTGCATTGTTTTGAAGATAACTCTTCAAGGAATAGATCCTTACAATCATTCTTTCTTGATGTCTGTGAAGGAAAAGTCCACAATTTGATGTGGATATGGTATTCTCCCTTTGTTTATTGATATCCTTCTATCTTCACGGGTTTTGCCTCTTTGGCAACTTTCCAGCCAGCTAAGAATTTGAGTATTTTAAGCAAATGGGGTGATGGTTCATAGAATGCACATGAAAACCTAAAAATTAGGGTATTGTGAGTGTGTGACTAGTCAAAATCACAATTGAGCTGGTTATGTGTATGTGACCTTTTTGACACTCTCATAAGCAATTAAAAGTCATGAAAATTTTCATGCCCATTACAGAAACACACATGAAGATATGATATGCATGCTCCAGCAGCTCCCTTACGATGAAAATTTAGTTGTGTGGTAATCAGTTTATAAATCATAGATATATTGTAAAAGTGAATGTATTATTCTTCAGAGTAGTTGCTTTACCTCATTCATATTTTAATCTGCCTGTGATCTGATGAAACCTCTTCTTTGTAGGTGTCAAGGTCAATTGGTGATGTCTACTTGAAGAAACCCGAGTTTAACAGAGATCCGCTTTTCCACCATTTCGGCATACCTGTTCCTTTAAAGAGGCCTGTTATGACAGCAGAACCCTCGATATTAGTTCGGAAGTTACAGCCACAGGACATGTTTTTGATATTTGCAACAGATGGTCTCTGGGAGCATTTGAGTGATGAAGCAGCTATTAAAATCGTCTCAAAGAATTCAAGAGTTGTAAGTCCCTGGCAAAATTTATATCTGTGTTGGTGTTCATTTATAAAACTGACTATAAAATTATAAGATGTTAAAAGAGTTGCTTCAATTTTAACTACAGGGAATAGCAAAGCGGTTGGTCAGAGCTGCGATTGAGGAGGCTGCAAGGAAAAGAGAATTGAGATATGAGGACATAAAAAGAATCGAAAAGGGGGTAAGGCGCCATTTCCATGATGACATCACCGTCATCGTGATATTCCTGGATCATTCACAAGTTTCCCCAAATGCTAGTTTGAAGGATCCGAGCCTCTTCAACTGCACCAGTGTTCCTGTTGATATCTTCTCCATGAACGGCGATGAAGCCGATGTATCACTCCACACCATTCCCTGAGAATATCAGTTGCACAAGAATATGCACCATTGTTTAATTAAAATGATAATTTATAAGTAGGTGCAGCAGGCTGCTAGATTTTACAGGAAGGGTTTGGTTGTGTACATAGTTTGGTGGCAGATTGAAGGTGCTGTTGACTTCTCAGCTCTGAGCTTTGACCTCATTTTCAGCTCTCTTTCTCGTCGGCGTATAATTTGTTGTGATTTACACATGATGTATATACTGGGATTTATCTATTGAGATTAAAATTTGCAACTCACAGTCCTGATAATTTGAAAAACTTTATGACATTATACAGCTCCTTTCTTCTTCACTCTTTCTCTTTTGCCCCCTCAATATCTTGTGCGAATGAGCTTGAATATGTGTTCATCTTTCACCGACCAACATTTAATAACTATATATTAAAAAGGGTTATTCGCAGCAATGGTCCCCCAACTATACCTGTGTTACATTTGGGTCACTAAACTCAATTATTAGTTGCAGAGGTCACTCAAGTATGTGTTTTGTTGCACTAGTAGTCATTCCATCAAGTCTGGCTAACGTGGTGTAAATTTGATGGGCAAATTTATCTTTTCAAGTCTACAATGTCCAACCTCCCATCTAAAGTAACTTCCCACCGAAAAATGTCAAATATGGAGCCAAAAAAAATCCCCAATTCCCATTTATATGTGAAGAAATCCACATAAAAACAGTAGATGTGTTGAAATTTTGGAAATTCGAAGGAAATCTGGGAAGCTCACACAATGCATGCGCAAAAATGTTGTAGATTTCTTCTTCATCAACAAATCAGAGCCCTAGTGCAAGGAAGCTATGCAGGTGCGGGGGATATATCAAAACCTGGACTTCATGGACTGATTTAAATCTTGGGAGAAGATTTGAGGCTTGTGAGATGAGTCGAGTAAGTTAATCTGTGAAATTTTATTTTGTTGCTTGAGTTTAGCTTTGATGTTATGAAACATACTTTGCAGAGAAACAGAGGAAATCGGCATCATTGGGAGTGGCTGGTGCACTGACCTATGCAAGAGGAAAAGAACTAATTCCTGGGTTGCTGAGAATAATGAGAGCAATGAAAGAGGACCTAAAGTTAATAGAAGAACAGAAGAAAGAAGTGGAAGATAAGCTGAAAATGGTGGAGAGAGAAAAGAATGAATTGGAGTACAAAGTCGGAGAATTAGGCAAGCAAAAAAGAATAGGTCAATGACCAAGAGAGAATCAGATTTGGGGGGTTTCATTTCTGTCATTGGGTCTTGGGGTTTTGGTGATTATGATGATGCTCTGTATCTTGAGCAATTGGTTGACATTTCCGGGTGGAAACTATGAAAGGCTTATGATCAATTAGGTCGAAGTGTAACCGATATGTAGTTCATTTTGCAATGAAATTTCAGTTCAAGTTTGGTGGACATATTAGTGTTGGTGTATTCAATTTGTTTCCATTTTGTTGATGAGAGGGCATGAGTGGATAATTGTGATAAATAGTAGTGGGTGTCGATCAAGAGGTGTGAGAAATATAAAACAATTTCTTCATCATTTATAACACCCAGTTACAGGTTCCAAAATGTACCAAATCAGGTTTCAAGTGAAACAGAAGCATAAAGATAGATGAACATAAACCAGTTCAGGTTCCAAAATGTACCAAATACAAAACAACCACACTAGGTTCCAGCCCAGAGACTCGAAAAACACATCCAACAGACATCCTCCTAGTTAGCCTTCAAAACATCCATGGTCTAAGCTTCTTGGTAAGAGACTTGAATCTCTTGACATGAGACTTGGGTGGTTGTGATGATGATGATGTAGCTCCAGTGTAAAAGAGTGGTTGTGATGATGATGGGAATGGTTGTGATGATGATGGCTTGTTTGGCATTTTTGTTGTCCCATTTCCAACCTAAAATAAAATTGAACCATATTAACTAAACAAAGTACATGAATTAAATTTATGACCAAATTAACCAACCAAAGTAGCATGACAGAGTTGTCACTTACATTTCCTCTTCCATTTGGCATTTGTCCTCTCCCATTTCCTCTCCCTCTTCCTGTGGTAGTATCTCTACCTCTCCCTCTGCCTCTAGTTAGGTTGGGCTGATTAGGTTGGGCTTAAAAAACTAAAATAAACTAAAATAAACTAAACAATAACAAATAAAAAAAGGGTCAAATGTTCCTTGGTTGTGCCTGAAAAATAAAAAGAAATTAAACTAAAGAGATTTTAACTAAAATACCCAAGTTGCCCCGTGGACTGTAAAAGAGCCAAATGTTCCTTGGTTGAGTTGATTAGGAAAGGCCTACAATAACAAAAACAAAAAAGTAAGTAAAGTAAATAATAACAAAAGGAAATTAAACTAAAGAAAATATAACCCAAATACATGTGCTGCCCCTTAGTTGGCATGTCGTATCTTATTATGTCCCTCCTGGCCACAAATAGAGCATCTTATGTTGACATAAATCCTTCTCAACTTAGTAGGTGGTGGATTTTAATATGGGGGCAAAGGTTTTGGAGGAAATGGAGTAGGTACTTCAACCTCAGTTGGTTCTTTGTTCCTTAATTTCTTGGGTCTTCCAGGTTGCTTCTTATATGGAGGAGGTTTAATTGGAGGCCAATTAGTTCTCTGCCACTGGTCCATGGATCGTATTGGGTGTACCATAGATTCATATGAACTCAGGTATGCTTCCTTCTTATTGCAGTCATGTGCATAGTCAAATATATTTGCCTCATTTTGAAAGATACAATAAATAGAATGATAACGTGGGATCCCACACAAATCCCTTCTTCTACAAGAGCAAGTCTTGGCTTTTAGATCCACTACATACTTTCCTCTATACATATGGCTCACTTGGTATTTGCTCTCACATGCTAACCTAGGAATCCATTGACTAGCTCCCAATTGTCTTTCTCAATGATCTTGACAATCCTAGGCCCAGCTGGATGTCTCCAAACCGTACCAGCAATCCTTCTATTAGCCATCCTTAACTTGATATAAACTCTAATCCTTTCTAGACATGTTAAGATATACTTGTCTTTTGAATCTAAAATGCAAAAGTTAAAGGATTCACAGAGGTTGTTCAACAACAGATCACACTTAGAATGTGGCTCAAAATGAGATATACTCCAATTTTTGGCTGGTCTTTTCGTAACCCACTTCCACACCTCTTCATCTTACTCTTTCATCTTGTCTATTTCTACTTCATACTAAGAAATGGTAGTTGCTCTTGTCGCAACCCAAAGAATGTTTTTAGTGCAAAGCCAGCATGCTCTGTCCTGAAGTTGCTGTAGAGATGCCTAACACATATTCTGTGCTCAGCTGTTGGAAGCGATGTCTCAATTATAGGTATTAGACCTTTTTGCGTGTCACTCATAAACACCCAAGCTTTCCCATTCTCAATTTTTAAGTATTCAAACAAAAGTCCAAGGAACCAAATCCAACTACTTTTTGATTCCACCTCTACAACAACATAAGCAACTGGGTACATTCCATTATTCTCATCAACACCAACGATTGTTAAAACTTGCCCTATGTAGGTCCCTTTAAATGGCATCCATCTATACTAATGAGAGGTCTACATCCTGCCAAAAATTCCCGCTTACAAGCTTCCAAACATACATAAATTCTTTCAAACACAGGTACATTACCCTTCATCTTATTCTTTATAATCATAGTACTGTCCTTGTTAGCCTTCTTCAATTCTTTTGCATAGTCCCATAGCCTCGCATATTGCTCCACATAGCTTCTTTCAATGATCACATTGGACAAGCTCTTTGCTTTATAAATTTGATGCCTTGAAACATTCATATGCTAATACCTTATACTGGAATGCCCCTACATCCCACTCAAGATTTTTCCTAATCTTGTCAACAAACCTTTTTGACAGCCACTTTGAATTAGTATATTTAAGTTTGTCCATTCTAGTACACTCATGCTCTAAGGAGAAAGTCTTTATGGCAAATGTCTGCTCATCTCTGTCTATCTTGGAAGTAAACAGAATAAAAGGGCATTTCGTGTAACATACACACTTTGCTTGAATCCTTTTATTATCATTTTTCACCAATTTAACATTCCTCCGTTGCACAATTGCATACTCCCTAATAGCTTTCTTGAGTTCATCCTTATTGGCGAAATGCATTCCAATTCTAAACTCTGGATTTCTTAAATCAGTTTCTTTCCTAAACTGTTTAAAATTTGGCTTTTTCCATTTCCTCTTGGTTGTATTTTTTTCACCATCTTCCTCACCACCAGAGCTATCACCATCATAAGGATGTCAATCACTATCTTCATCATCATCTAATATCTCCCATATAGCTTCATTAAGAGACATTTCATTCATCTCTTCAAAACATTGTGCATATTCAACATTTGGTGCATCGTTCCTTGGTTGTGCTCTTGATGCAGCCTCTTTATTACCATTTTCTTCTTCACTTAATTCATAATCACTGTCAACAATAACATCCTCTTTTTCCTCCTCTTCCTCTTCCTCTTCATTGCCAACATCTTCACTATGCTGTTGTTGCTCTTTATCTTCACTCTCTAGCTCATTGTTATGAGTAGGATCATGTCAATACAACACCAATACCTAATTTGATGAAATGCTCCCAACCAACCCTGGAATACAATTATCATTTACAACCTTATTCACAACATGCTGACCACTTTTTGCAGGCCCCTTATAGTAAACTTTTAAGTTTGTAACCCTTTGTGTTATATCAACTTTGTATCCAAGATCTATCCCAATTTTCTTTAAATCCAATAATGACATATAGTCATGAATACAGTTGTCAACATAGCATACTTTGCCTCCCTTATACATGTGATTCTCCAACAGACCAAAGTGGTGGAGTTCAAGAATACACAGTTCTGCTTTATCTACCACATTACACAAAGGTATGCTTACAAAAAAAATTCATGACAATAAGGACAAAGTAAACAATGAAGACAAAGTAAGTGCAGGCATGTGCAAGTGTGAAATCACTTTCATGACAAACCGACAGAAAAGAGACAACAGATAATAATAAAGACTCCAACTTACATTTTTTTCAACCTTAAAGCCAAAACTTCATTGTCAACAAGAGGACCACACATTTGCAAACATAACATATTGCAATATAAAATGCAAAAGGAATATTTAGTTTATAGTAACTTGCCATACTTGGGGGGTTCTCCAGACCATCGAAAAATTGTCTCCATTTGAAGAAGCCTCCACACACAGTAGACCTGACACTTTTCTCTGTGATTTCCACGAAACTGAAATCCTAGATCTGTACTTTTTTGCTTTTTAAACTCAAAATCCTTCGGTACTTAGTCCATTAA